GCCCAGGCTCGGGCTCAGGAGCCGGTACATGCTCGCGCGGCGTCCTCGGCGCACTGCAGGCCCGGCCGGGTCCCAGGACGCCCCGCCCCCAGCGCCGAGCGCCCACCGGATTGGTCGGGCCGCGAGGTGGGAGGAGGCGTCGTCGTGGCCGCCCGCATGCGCGTGACGCGCGCTGACGTCACTTCGCCTCGCCCCGCCCCCAACCGGCAGCGGGAATTCTCCCTAGAGCCGTCGGAGCGTCGCACCTGCGGGGCTTTCGGAGGAGGCTGAAGGCGTGGGACGCCATGGCCTTCGCCTTGCCCGGAGTCACGTTGCCCGCTGTCGTCGAGGAGCTCCTGAGCGAGATGGCCGCGGCGGTGCAGGAGAACGCGCGAAGTACGGGCCGGAGGGCGTGCGTAGCTGCGCTGTGGGCGGTGGACCTGGCCCGGCCGGGCAGGGAGGCGAGAGGCGGAGCCTGAGGGGCGCCGGGTTGGGGGCGCTGCCCCCGCGCTCTTCGTCCTGGTTTCTCCAAGCTTTTATCCCCTGTGGTTCTATTCCCAAACCCCAGTTCTTAAGAAAAAAAAAAAAAGAAGGAAAAGGAAAGCCCGATTTGTTTAGGGAGCAGCGTGGTGGTTCCCTGCAGGCCGGCGGGGCAGCAGGGACAGAAGTGCTGGGCGCTGCCACGAAACCCCTGAGAAGGGACCTCGGGCCAGGAGGGCAGAAGGCACGGGAGCTTGCGCGCACGTACGGGGAGGTGACGTTCTTAATTATTATTAAGCTTGCTTGCGGTCTTTTTCTTCCCCCTCAAAATCCTAATTCTAAAATTAATCCTCGTGCACACTGTGTGCATCAGATAAATATTTTAGAACCCGAAAACCAAATGCATACGCAGTGACTGGAGTAAATAGGGATATCGTGAAAGTAACTGTTACTTCTCTGACCAGCAGAGGATGCTCGGTGACTGTGTTTACCAAAAATCACCCAGGTGATCTCAAGATGTGCTCAGGGCATTAAAGATGATAATTCTAATCAGAATGCATTGACCAATTGGAACTACTCAACCAGTGTAAAAAACGGCCACTTAATAGCAGTGCACAGCTCAAAATTGCCGCTGCTTTTTCACTTGGACGGCTTTTGTTTTAAAAGGACTGCACTTTGAAAGGGTTTATCTTAAGTTACTGTATTTATCCATACTGACGTAAGCATGGTATGTATGTTTAAAAAATTAGGCCAGGCAGGTATTCAAATATGTTGGGATCCCCAAAAGGATGGGGAAAAAAAAAATCTGCTAGCTCAAACACTGGTTGCCAAAAGTGGGCTCTGTCTGAATTAATCCATATACTGTGACCACTGCCATTGATTCGTGTTTATTTCCAGCAGAACCGTTTCCTGCTATTTTAAAATATGTGTTCTACATAGTAATGCACTATTCCTGATCTCTGTGCTTCAATGATAATATTTTTAGATCAAGATTCTGAGTTTACACTTGTGTGATGATGTGATATCTAATCACAGCTGGGCCACGTAGGAAGCTGTGGTTGCTTCTCCTTTCCTGCATAACTTTTTGTTTTCCCTGGAATTACAACTGTTGTGGTTGTGTTTTTTTAGTTTTCTATGTATGTATCCCTAATTCAACCTCAAACTCTTCACCAGTGTTCTAAATCTCTACTCCATATGTTCAGATGAGTGAGATGTTGTCTCAGTTTTATTCTTCCATGGAAATCTCTCCTAGAGCCTAGACTTGCTCTAATACGGACTCACTGCTCTCCTAGCTATTTCCTGAGATCTTCCTTCACCATTATTATCTTAGGAATTTCCTTTGCCTGTGTTGAGCGGTATGTTTATCTATAATTTCCTTTTTCTGGGTTTACTATCTTATTTTATAGAGCACACATTCTCCAGTAGCTTCCTGAAGAAGAGTATGTGAGGTATACTTTTTGAAGCTTTACATGTCTAAAAAGTTTTTTCTAACCTCACCCTTAAATGATAGCTTGGCTAGGTATTGAATTATACGTTGGAAATAGTATTTCTTCAGACATCCGAAAGCCTTATTCCACTACCATCTATCTCCTTAAACTTACTTTAAAAGACTCTATTATTTTAACCCCCCCTGCTTCATCCCCATCTCCAAAGCAATCTGGTGCCATCAGTTTCTGAGGGTTGTAGGGGTAAGAGGGTACTGGATTTTGGAGTACAAATGAGGTTATTGCTTGGCTATCTCCATTGCTAGCTTAGGATTCAGTTTCCTCAGGTCTTGTAAATTATTTTCCAGTGTATCTTAGCTGTTGTTTCTCCCTGTCCTTTCATCCTGGGGAATTTATGCTTTTTAAAATAATCCTTTTATTATTGTTTAGTGGAGTATTTGGAAGGAGTAAAATCAGATGCATAGACTTAATTTACCATCTTACACAAAAATCTTCTTGGTTAAAGTCTTCTGAAGATTTTGTCTATGGCAAAAATCTTTAAAAAAAGATTTTGTCTATGGCCACTGGTTTAACATGATTAACTTTCTTCCCATTTGTGTTTTACAGTTCCTGATGAGCATCTGTCATCGTAAGTATATATCCTGTTGTAATTGGGTCTTTTTTTTTTTTTTAACCATTAATGTGTCTTTTTTAAAGATTTTATTTATTTAGAGAGCTGGGGGAGGGGCAGAGAGAGAGGGAAAGAGAGAATCCCAAGTAGACTCCACACTGGGTGTAGAGCCTGACACAGGACTGGATCCCACCACCCTGAGATCATGACCTGAGCCAAAATCAGGAGTTGGATGCTTAACCGACTGAGCCACCCGGCACCTCAACCATTAATGTGTTTTAAAAGCCAGATCCTTTCAACAGCTCTTGGTTTTTAAAAATACTCTTACTAAACTAAGAACAGTGTTTTCTTGACATGATTGTTAAAAATCTGTCCAAAGCCAATACCATTCTTGACAGTACAAGGTATTCTTGTGTTGTCCTATTTGCCACTTTTGTTTAACATTGTTCTAGTGGGGCGCGCCTGGGTGGCTCAGTCAGCTGAGCGTCTGCCTTCAGCTTGGGGCCTTGATCTCAGGGTCCTGGCTTCCTGCTCACTGGGGAGTCTGCTTCTCCCTCTGCCTCTACTCATGCTCTCTCAAATAAATAAATAAATAAAATCTTTAAAAAAAATGTTCTTGGAAAAAAGAGAAAACATGAAAAGCATCAACAATCATACCACCCAGTGATAATCACTGTTACAGTTTGGTTTATTGCCTTCTTTTTTTTTTTTTATTAAATATTTTATCTTGAGATATTGTGGGTTTTCTTAAAAAATTTTTAACATGATTGAGAGTTTCTAAATACCTAATTATGTGCCCAGCCTTTCTCACTTATCATAAGAATTTTCCCACATACCAGATTTTTTTCTGATCTATCATTTAAAGGTGGATAGCCTTTATTACTAATACAGAAAGTACAAATAAGTACCCATCAGGTGGTAAACATGAAAATCTCTGATAATATTGGTATTGGTTAGGATATGGGGAAAACAGGACTCTTATACAGTGCTGGTGGGACTGTGGTTTCCACTGTGGAAGGCTATTGACAATGCCTATTAAAGTTGAAAAATGTACACATCCTAAGGCTCAGCAATTCTACGTATGTAGCCAGGAAGAATTCTCATGTGCATTAAGGGACACGTACGGGGATAAGTGAGTATTCTTTATAATGTAAAATAGAGACAATCAGATTGCCTATCAGGGTACCTAAAAAATAAAATGTATGTACATTTTATGTATGTATGTATGTAATAAAATGTTAGTCAAAAAATAAATTAAAAAATACATATATCAACATGCATCATTTTCAAAAGCACATTAAATAGAAAAAACCAAGTTGCCAAAAAAACCTACAATGTATCTTTTTAGGTTCTAAAACTTAGGAAACAAGAGCATACGTATGTATGTATATGTGTGTGTATGCGTGTGTGCTATATATACATGTTCAGTGTACTTTGTCTAATATAAAAACATTAACAGGAAGGAAACCAAATGCATGCAGTTGCCTCAGGGATGAAAGAAAGTTGGGAAGAACAGGAAGCACTATGATATGTAAAGAGGGCTTTTTCTGGAAATATGTTAACATTCTGGAGGGGGGGGAGTTGATTACATGGGGTTTTGCTGTATTATCTTTTTTTCCAAATTAAAATGAATTTTTAAAAAAAGTGCCAGTGGTGATCCTCTGGGTTAAGTTCCTGAGGTGACTGAAAGCAGGCAGTCTAATCTGAAGCCTCTCTGTTTCCCAGGCTGAAGTTCATCTTCGGCTCATCAGCCATCCAGGCCTTGGACCTCGTGGACCGACAGTCCATCACCTTAATCTCATCGCCCAGTGGGAGGCGTGTTTACCAGGTAGAAATCTAGAGGTGGGGATGATCTCAACAAGGAACCCCCTTAGGACAAAATGTTTTCGTGAGTCCCAATATTTCCTGGGCTACTGAAAAGCAAATGACCCAACTTCATAAAATCAGTGTGTTAGTAATTAAAATAAGTCAAATAAGACCTCTTAACCCTACCTAGTAGCAATGTATAGAACCAGCAATGATGTGGAGAGGCTGTTTTCTCAAGTCTAATGGCGTATAGTTGATTTTTGCTTCCCTGTGTTTGATAACAAGCACTTTCCCCCAAAAAACTGTGTTGACACTTTCACCTTGTTCATTATCTCTTGCCTACAAACAAAAGCCAAAATGCATTTTGAGGTCCTTCTGCATGCTCAGATTCATCTATCAGAAGTGATCTTTCAAAACTGTTGTCAGGAAGTATTTGTTAAGGGTCAGACTATGCTGAAGGCAGGTTGTCTACTTGGACTTTAGTTTTGCCTTCTAGAATTTAAGATACGTAGATCTGTAAAGTAATAGCCTCTTATCAGACTCTGAAAGATTCAGATTTCCATGTGTTGATAATTCCCACAAAAGCCCAACCAGGTATTTATCTTGCAGGAAACTGAGATGCAGAAACGTAAACTCACATCTGGCAGTTAGGATTTCTAACTGCTGTCCCACACTGCCTCTCTATAAACAGTGGGCCACACTGCAACCCATTCCCACTCCCCCGCACCCCAATGTAGCTATATGAGACAAGGGTAAGTGCCATGGGATTGAGGGAGGGGAATCTTGTGAATGAAATAAAAATACTGGCAATGTTCTCCCAAAATTTTGAGTCTGGGGGCACCTGGGTGGCTCAGTCGGTAGAGGGCATGACTCCTGATCTCGAGGCCCAAGTTGGATGTAGAGATTACTTGAAAATAAAATCTTAAAAAATAATAAGATTTCCTTAAAAAATGTGTGTATGTGTGTATCTGTCTTGGAAGGAGTAAAGAAGCCATCAGCTCTAGTATGTAATCTAGGTCTTGCTGAAGACCAGGAAGGGGGATGTTTTTCAGCATTTGAATTCTGGTTTATTTATGATGACCATCTCAGAGCTGAGACCATGTCAATTAATTTCTAGTGAGGGAGCAAAGCCTACTATTGTATTTACTTAAAAGAAGCTACCTATCAGAATTTTGTCAGGGCACACTTAACAGATTAATAATCAAAGCTATTAAATGATGTTGTACCTGACGAGGTGTTTCCATTTTACTTCTTAGTGTTTTTATTTGGCGTTTCTATGTAGCTAAAATACCCGGAACAAGACGGGCCTTTGAGTTTTTCCCACATCTTTTAGTTTCAGATTTTTTGTCTCCATTCCAGTGTTAGCATGACACTTGACATGTACGAACAGACTTCAAACTGCCCTCCAATTCTAAGATCTAGTCATTAGTTAAAATCTTAAAAGATTTTGTTGGAAATATTTCAATTCTTGTTGACTTTTTGTTTCTCCCAAGATTGCCACTTGTTTAACTTTCATGATTCCCATCCTGTATTATATTACATTGCTTTATTCGTCATAAAAATGCAAACTTCCTAGTACTGTGACTTCCAACTTGGACTTTGAATTAAATGAGGCTGTAGAAATCTTACATACACCCTCAGATTAACCTTACTGGTCTCATTGTATACTACTGTAGTCCAAATTTGGCTTAAGTCAGAGGTTCTCTGAGATGATAAAAGTTGAGTCAGACACTGTCTGATACTCCACTGGTCATCTTTCCATAGGTCAGCCTTCTGATACTGTTACTGTCTTCCAGGGACAATGGTGATTACTCCAAAGTCATCACTGTGCTGTCGTCACCCAAGTCGCTTTTCTGTAAACTTTTTGGGTTCACCTAGAAAGAGGGATGCATCAGTCAGGAGAGGCTAAGCCATGCTGTGGCAGCAATGACCCCCGAATGTCAAAGACTTACAAAGTTTTATGTCTCATTCATGCTTCACATCCATCCAGAGTCTATTACTACTCTACTCCGGGACATCTTCATTCAGGGATCCCAGCTGGCATAGCAGCCTTTCTCTGGAATATTGTGGATCTCACAGCAGAGAGAAAAGAGGATGTGGTCTGTACCGATCTGTAATGTTTCTGCTCGGCTACTCACATTTTCCTGGCTAAAGCAGCTCACATAGCCAGCCAGTAGTTAATAGGGCAGGAATGTATAATCTTTCAGAGGCACCGAGCACAGGGAACAATAAATAATACAGTTGAGCACTGTGATGGCTCCTGGGAGGCTGGCAGCAACCATAAAATAAAACTGTGCTTGCGAGTGGATGACCATCCAGGTGGGTCACTCTCCTTAGTACCCAACCGGAACCACAGACTTCCTCTGAGGGAGGCTCATACGAGTCTACTCATGGGGCTGCGTTTCCTCTTTCCCAGATGTTTCTTTTTTAAAAGCTCTCTCCTGGGGATAAACATTGCAGACTGTGAGTGGGAAAAGTGGGGGCAGTTCCTGGGGGGCGGGGGGGTGTCATTTTTCCACTGAAGGCTGAAGCCACTGACTTAGAGGATCCCTGAGGTCAATTTCCAGTGGTAATCATTTCTAACTCAGATTTTTGCCTGATTATTGGGTTCATTAGTCATCCGATGGCTGGATAAGGAAGAAGCAAATTCACAATTTACTATCTCTTGACAGTATTTACTGCCTCAGGCGGTTGAACATTGTACTTTTAGTCTTGGCCAGCCCCTGACAGGATCAGGCAAGGGAGCCTCTGTAGAAACTCTTCCTCCTCCTTAAGTCACCTGGCATTGATTCAGCGTAGTCCAGAGTCTTCTCATGGATTGGGGACCCACAAAAAGAAGGAACAGGAGAACGATTCAAGTCAGTGTAGAATTCCAGAGGCTTATGCCTGCTTAAATTTAAATCTAGAGAGAAGAGGTAGAGGAAAGGAAGAAATCTTAACGTTTTATTCATTGGTAATGGTTTGGAGACCCAAGAATCGTTCACGTCACTGCTGGATATTGGGTTTTTCCCAGGATTAAGTGGAAGACAGTCTGCTTTCAGACTGTTGTCAGTTTGACAAACAAGCACAACGCCGGAACACTGCTCTTTTGTTGCGGCCTTCCCTGTTGCTTCATTTTTTTTTTT